TGACGATGTCCCTGGCTAAGGGCAAACCCAAGCGTCAGACAGCAATGACAATGTCATGTGCGCTGCATTGTGCAAATGTGGCCAGCAGGAGTTGGCATAACCACTGGACCGGGTGGTGCTGCTGGAGTCGGTTTGTTGCAATGTCAACGCCAAAGACCAAGGCACACTGCGACCAAATGTCAAAATGGCTGCAAGGCATTTCTCAGCGGTGGCAACGATGGCGGCGGCTGCTGCAGCTCTTGCGGCGGCTTCTGCTGCTCAGCCTGACCCCAAGTTGACCTCGAGCCCAGCGCGGCTTTAAAAAGCGGCCACCAGCATCGATTTTTTTGCGCCCAACGCAGACAAACAAATAAACGTAGATAAATTTGCATGCATGTGCCCCCGGCTCTCATTTAAAATTTGTATATAAAATATTGATCAGAATTGACGATTGCAAAAATGACGGGCCCGCAGGCCGTCTGTATGCCTGAGTCTGTGTGTCGTGTGTGTGTTGTGTGTGCAGTCTGTCATTTAATGGCGCCTGTTTGCTGTGTCTCTTTTTGAACGTTGACCGCAACGCTTAAAAGTAATAATAGCGTTTAATTTCACAATTTTCAATTTTTTTTATAGACCTGATCCTGGCTAGCTGCTGCAGCGCTACAGATCGAGCTTCAATAACTACTTTAAAGGCTGCCGCGGGACAGAACATGGTAATTTTGCCAGCAGCTTGATCGATTTTTGTAATCCCCTTAACATTTTTACACAACTACGCACCTGCCATTCATTCAGTCACATACACACACACGCATACACATACGCCACAAAGTCTTGTCAGGCTTCATTGTTTCTGCTGTGCGTTGTCCATGTCCATGCGGTCGAACTAAGCGGAAGCTGTTGGAATTTACCAACGTTTAAACTTTAATGCTGTGTACAAGAGCACTTTTTATTGTTGTCCTGCTTTGCTTTTCCATTTTTTGCCATACTCTTCACCTATCCACCTACGTCCCTTTTCCTGCAACTGTACGCTGTGCTTTAGTGGACTTTGGACTTTTTTTTTGTGCTGCATGTCCTCTGCCTGACTGCCCGCTCCAATTGAACCTAATCCGGCTGCTAAAGTATTAGCTACGTAGTTGTATGCTCATCCCGGCTGTCTAAACTGCCTTATGCTGCTTTTGTTGTTTGCTGGCATTTAAAAAAAAAAAAAGAAACGAGTCCAGGCGGAGGTAGCTAGCAGCGGACCAACTATGGCCAGCTGGAGGTCTGTAAAAACTTTTGCCTCTGTCTAGGTATCTGCAGCTGTAGCTCGAGCTGCCCCTCACTTAATAACAAGGCGTCGGCCGTTGTGTGTGTTTGTGTGTGTATGTCACCCTGTCGGCTGCAGAAAATGAACGGCAGTCACTTGGCCCTTGGAAACGACGAGCATACTAATCTGTCTCCTCCGCCTCATCATGGTTACCGTCATCGTCATGTTTTCCGTACAGCCAGTAAATGAAGTGAGCGAGAGAACTCCGATCATTGTGTTTGGCAATCAGGCGCTTATAGGACTTCTCGTGCATTGGCTTCGTTATATACATCTTATATATGTATCGCTACTACCCTATCTATAAAGCGGTTAGCGAGCAGGCAGCGCTTTAAAGGGATTCGTGATAGTCGATATCAATGAATGTCACTCAGTTCTTATTATAAAATTAACACTAACGTCAACTAAGCGACAGATCCGATCCGACAAGATATGATGGGAAGTGTCAGGTGAGCAAGCTAAGGCTTACTCGACCGTCAACATGGCGTATGATTGATTTTCAAGTCATAAACCAAGCAGGGCAGCAGCAGCAACAGCAGCAACAGCAGCAGCTTGGCAGCAAACTGTAAACTGAACGTGCCCAGATAAATGCGGCAAATATTAAACGGAGAGTAAGCTCCAATAATAATAAAAGTTATAAATCTTAGCATTGCCTGTCGCCCCGTCCAGATGAGAATCAGCTGAAGCATGAGAGGATGTGGACGTTCAGAAAGGGCAAAGAAGGCGACGATGGCGACGACCACGGCGACGACGACATGCTGCATCGTGGCGATAATAACAATTTATTGCACGCACACAAAGAGTCCCAAACACAAACACACAAACACACACACAGAGACACAGGCATGTGCACAGTTGCCAAGTGCCGGAAAATGCCGCGAGACACAACTGCAACAACAAGGATAACAACAACAACCACAACAACAACAACAACAACGAGAGCAGCATCAGCAGGCAGACAATCATAAAGAGCAGAGCAAGGCAGGGCTGAGAAGGCAGACGGGCATAAAAACCGCACAATAATAAAAATGAACAATGACAGGTTAATAGCAAATAAATGAAAGCCCATAAGAAAAGCGCAACAACAGCATAAGAATGGTATGAGAGTGGGACAAGAATATAAAAAAAAAACAAGAAAGTGACAGCCAGACAACAGCAAGAACAACAACAACAACAACTGAAAGCGACAATGGGTGACACAGTAGCCAGGAGCGCAGCGAAGAACAGAGACTACGTCCAGCTGCTCCGGCGAACTCTTAGTCTAAGCAATTGATATATGGTTTTCAATTTTCAAAACCATTGACCACTTGCAGCACAACTACCAGCAACAGCAACAGCAACAACAACAACAACAATAACAGCAAAGAGCCCAGCACTAAATGGTGTAAAAATGCTGTGGAAAATGGACGCCAGGCGCCACAAGTTGATGCTGGCATATTTAAAGCTTAGCTGCGAGCGTTAGAGACTCGTTGTACGCCGGGCAAAGGAACAGGCCAGGATAATGGCAGCAAACGTACTTAACGACTTCAATAATGACAATAATGGCCAACGACTTGGCAGCGCCCAGCTTTTGCTCATCCACAAACAGGTTGACAAAATGCACTCGACATGCAATGGCAAATGCGCTGCCTGCCAATGATAGTCATCGTCATCATCATTATCGTTGCACAGGTGTGGTGCGTGTGTCAATAGATAGCCAGGACCTAGTATGCTGCATATTGAAACATCATATGGTTAAGTGAGAGCAGAAATAGGTTGTGATGTACATGCAGGGTATTTGACATTGGGTGCTTTAATTTATCTGCTTTAAAGCCCTTTAATGTGCAATGTAAATTATAATATACAATTTTATTGATATTAATTTAATATTGAATAAATCAAGAGCAAGGGAGAAAAGGTTAGAAATTCATAAATTCATTTGCATTTACATTAAAATGATAGCAATTAAATATTATTTATAAATATATGCACAGTCTGTTGCATTTCAAAACACGTTGTTAATTGTATATATTGAAAATATCCAATATATTTGATTATTTATTCTATTAATTTAATACATTACTGAGGTGTTGCATGCAGACCGCGAGCGCATTAAATTTTATTCAATTTGGCAAAAGTTTTAAAGTGACAAAGAGAAAGAGCGAAAAATCGATCACCTGTTTAAAGCTCAGACGCCCACGAGACGACCGAAACGGAAAGGAGATGGAGCAGCAGCCGCAGCAGCAGCAGCAGCAACAGCAGCAGCAACAGCAACAATGGCGGCTACTTGGCAGCTGTGCCAACGCTTGGGCGAACGCATCAGTCAACGTCCTTAGAGTTTAACAAAGAAGGACAATGCGAGCGCACGTGGAGAGAGGTAGACACCGGGCCACTTTATAAGCCAAATTCAACGCTTGCTCGTTGTTGTTGCTGTTGCTGCTGTCGCTGTTGTTGCTGCTGTTGCTGTTGTCGCTTGCAATGCGCCTTTGTCTGTTTGCTTTTTGGAAGGGCAAGCATGACGACAACTGCTGCTGCTGCTGTTCCGTCCGCCCTCTTTTTGGCAATTTGTTTCTGCATCTTACAACGAATTCAATTGAAAATTTTAACAGACACTCGACAGGCGACGAGCATCGAGCACCGAACGACGAGCGTTGCAAATTTCAAAACAAATTTGCCGCAACGCAACGGCAGCAAACTTTTCGCAAAGAAGTCGAAGCTTCGATTCGATTCGACTTGATTCAATTCGTTTCGATTTTCAATTCTCGCTGCATTCTCTTTATCCCGTGCTCTAGCGTCTAGCCTTTCAGTTGGTCAAGTGTAGACGTGCGTTTAAAAGTTACGTATGCGCCACGTTGTCCAAGCCACTTCAGCTGGGCACAATTGGCAGCGTCTCGTCTACTTCTTCATGCTCGTCTCCCGCTTTGTCTGGGTGTCTGTGGCGAACTGTGTTCAGCTGTTTGCTTAGTGCAGTTTTCACTTTGTGGGCGTTGCACAAAAAATAACAAACAGCCGCACCCCCAAGCCCAGCCTGACTTTCTTCTGCTATTTACTTTTGCCTTTCACACTGCCTGACATCACGTTAGTTTTGTTTGCTTCCCATTGTGCGTGTGTGTGTGTGTGTGGGTGAGAGTGTATGTTTGCCTTTCGTTTAGCAATGGCTATGACAAAATCAAAATCAAATCGTTGAACCAATGCCAAAGTGGAAATTGTCAATAATTTCAAATTGATTTCTGTTTGATTTAACACAACAACAACAGCAAATAAAATACAACGAACGAAATAAATGAAAGTAAACATACAGCAAAAGGCACTATAATTGTGCCATCTTACATAGAAATACCTGGCTAGTTTTGTCTAGTTGAGGGCGAAAGTGAAACAGTCAACTTTGACTGGCGCATGCGGCTCCCCAAATAACATTAGACAGCCATTATGGGCTTGGCCGACTTTTACGACGCATCATAAAAAGCATTACTTGAACTGCGCCTGACTCGTAAAACTCGTGAAATTCCTGAGCAGGCAGTGGCAATAAAATCAAATCGATAAGTGTGCCCAAAGTGTTCGAATAGCTCGTAAGCTAATCGAAATGGGCCAAAGCTCAATAAAGTCGATGTGCTTAATGTACTTAGCATTTAATTTCTAATTATATTTACAATTCCAATAACTATTCATAAAATAAGCTGATAGTAGACATTTATTTATATCTTTTATATTTTTCTAAAATAGCTTTCAATCTTTTGCTTACCCTGCTTGGGCGAAACGCTGAGCACCTGCTGCGGCGACTGCTGTTGCGAGTGGATTTGGTATTGCTGCTGCTGCTGCTGTTGTTGCTGCTGCTGTTGTTGAACGGCCACCGCCTGCTGCTGGGCGGCACAAACGGCCGCGGCGACAGCAGCTTGTTGCTGCTGCTGATGATGAGCGGCTGCTGCTGCAGCTGCAGCGGCTGCAGCAACCGCTTGATGCTGCGACTGCTGCTGATGCGGCGACTGGGACTGTGGATGATGCTGCTGCTGCTGAGTGGTAACAATGGACATTTGCTGAGAAGACTGCTGTTGCTGCTTCACATTAACCTGATGCTGCGCCTGCTGCTGCTGCTGAGCTGGCGCCTGTTGCTGCTGCTGCTGCAGGTGTGTCTGGTGTATGGCCAGCAGCTTAGTCTCATAGGGCTTGGCGCCCACCGACAACGGCTGACTGCTGAGCGTCATCTGTGCTGTTGCAGGCATCATTAGCGTGGGCATTGCCAACATTTTTTCAATGGCACTTTAATGTGCTGCTGTTGCTGTTGCTGTTGCTGCTGTGGTGTTGCTGTTGCACGTTTTGCGGTTGGACGCAATTCGCTTTGATGTTTAATGAAGTGCCGCCTCTTAGTTGATGTGTATCATCAAATCGTGTTATAATTTTGCTAAATATATTTCGGAGCCTCTTTTTTATTTGTATTTATATTTGTTGTATTTTTTGTTTGTGTGAAACCGCACTTTTAATTGCTGTTTTTGCAGTTTGTTTGCTTGTTTGTTCTGTATTTCTTTTTTTTTTATTTTCTTTAATGTTATATTTAAATCATCTGATGCGTTAAATGATTTCTACAATTTTACTAATTTCAAAAGTTTCTCTTTGTGGTTAGTGCTCGCATTTATTTTCCGTTTTGCTTTTAAAAACTTTTTTAATTTAATTTAGCTTTACCTTCACTTATCACAGACCAATAAGAATTTTTTTTAGTAAGTTCATGTGGTTTTCGTGTTAAAGTTGCTCGCTAAAACACAAAGTTTATTTAATCCTGTTAAAAATATATTTAACCTGATTGAAATATATTCGCAAACTACAATAAATAATGAAACTAATGAAAAATATAATATACATTTTAAGAGAAGCATGTAATAAGTACCATATATTTTTATCACTGATCAAAACAAATGTTAAAAAATACAAATAATTGTTTATAATTTTTCCTACAAATTTTGTTTTTCATTGTGAACTACAATTGAACATTTATAGTTGAAATATTTATTCAACTGATCTGATTATCTGCACAACTGCTGGTCTCTGGAATCCACAAGCATCTTTTTGGTAAGCACATTTTATGCTTCGGTTTTATGAGGTACCCCAAGCACAAGCATTACATTCTGGGCACAAGCCTTATCGTATATCAAGACTAAGCCATTCACACATCATTTGAAAAATTAAATTTAATATTTTACGATTTGCTGGTGTGCTTCTGTGTATTCTGAGCACATTCAAAGCAGAGCATGAACCAACAAAAAAAAATACAAATTATGCGAGAGACAGCGAAAGTGCGCGTAAGGCAAGGCAATGCGAAGCAGAAGAAGAAAAAAATTATAACAATAATAATAAAAGGCAGCTGAATACAAGCGCTGGTTTTTATGCGTCTCTCGCACGCCCCAGAGACAAAACAACAGAAGCCAGAGACCGGAAAACACAAACTCTGAAACTCCAAAAATCGCACGCCCCAAGTGTTGGCAAGTGTCAGGATCAGGCGCTGCCACAGTCTCAGTCGGCGTTGACGTCAGTCTAACGCTTCCGGTTTTTATAGCGCAACGCACACAAAACCCCAGACAGTGCGACAGAGAAGCAGACGGACAAATGTTATGTATAAATATAAACTTATATTTTTATTTTTGAAAGCCAAGAAACACACACACAGAGACGCAGTAAAAAGCAACGAGTGTACGAAAATTGCTTAACAAAAAAAATAAATATACAACACACAGCATTCGCTGTCATCTAAGTGAAGTGTGTGTGCGAGTGTGTATGATTCATACACACAAATGCACTGGCCTTTTATGTGTCCGCGCTGTGTCGGCGGCAGTCGGCGTTGGCTGGCTGAAAGCATTTATTGGCTGCTCGTTGTCGGTTTATGTGGCACATAAGCCGAAGTGGCAGAATGTATGTATGTGAGTGTGTGTGGTTGTTGTTGTACATAATATGTCCAAAAAACACCAGCACCAGAAGCAACGGCCAAATACATGCAGGCAAAAAGTCGTTGTGCTCTATGTAAATATGACTAAAATCGATGCACAGTTTTGTGGGAACTCAAGAATAACATTTTTATGAAAATTGCATTCAAAAATATCAAATATCTATAAAGATAGTGCAAATTGTGATATATATGTATGTGTTATTCTATCTTAAGTCAATATGATTCATTTTCAGTTTTCTATTAGACGCAAGAATAAACTATTAGGCATGCATAAGACTTCACTTTACGTGCCCCACAAAGTATGCAACGAAATTTGTTCAACAGAATTTCACTTTTAAAATGTCTGAAAGACACACAAAAAACCGAAGGAAAGTGTTTACAAACTATTAACTAAACAAACAAAACGAAACTTTAAAATCATATGCACACTTTGAGTAAAATTAAATATTTAATGTAAATTTTAAATATTAAAACTTGAACATAATTTGCACTATTTAAGTAAAATTAAATATTTAATGCATGTTCTAATTATAATTATTTACTTTTGCCAACTTTATTTTGTCAGTTTATTTATGTTTATGTATTCGATATATTTTTGTATTATGCTTTTATTTATTTATATCTTGCAGTCGCTCTTGCTGTTTATTTTTTACGCGTCGTTGACTGCTGCCTTTGTCCGTTTTGGATTTCTATTTATATTTTATTATATTTGTTTTTTTTTTTTTGTTTTTGTGTGCTTTGTATTTGAATTTTCGTCTTCAAGTTGTTGCGTTTGTAGATGGGTGTTTTTATATATTTTTATTTTTGGTTTTGGTTTGCTTTGCTTTGCTTGCTGGTTTGTTTGAAAATTATAATAACAACTTAACAACAATGTAACGAATATCCTTTCTTCACGAGGACACAATTCACACTGAATGCGAAGCGCGCTCGTCGGTCTCACAAATAGCCAAAGACATCGTCCGCTGTGGATACCCGTTATTCTGCCGGCGTCGCTGTCGCGCTGCCTGCGCTCCGAGTCCTTGCGTGCAGACGAGTTGCCTACTCGTCGTCCAGTCCAGCTTCGTTTCTAATAACGCTCAGGCCTGCGCACAGCCACGCTTCGAAATGGTTTGTGTCCCAGTTAAATTCGAACTATGCGATTTATAGCATACCAAGCTGCAAATTTCCCATTGTCGAAGGACTTTTAGCTGTTATACATGGACAATACAGCAACTTCTTACCAGAGTTGCACTCTAAGAGGCTTTCGCACAAAGGACTTATGTTGCGTTTTGCGGGGATGCTGCATTGTTGCTTTGTGCCACAGACTGTGCACCTCAACTCTTGCAACAAATGCTTTGAGCGGCTTTGCGAACAAAAGCAGCACCAGCAGCAGCAGAAACAATGTCAAATTGTAAGTAAGTATGTAAGTATATAATAGACAAACAAACACACCCACACTCGCACACAATCGCATACTCATGCGCTCACACACACACACACGCGTGCCATTGTTTATGCGCTCAAGAGCCAATAATCCACTTTTGTTTTGTTATCATTCGCGTGCCCTTATCCAAACGCCTTAAACCACACGGCCACCCCATTCAGTGGGGCAACGCGTTAAGCGCCTTTGCCACTGCCTTCACCCGTCTCCACTTAATTTCTACTTGATTTGTCGCTTAAGAAAACTAATTGTCTGCCTTTTGTTGAGCGTGAAAACAATAGAAAACATTTTAGCAACTGTTACTTTAGCCAAAAGCGTATTAGAAACATGGTCGGTTGGTGGAGGGGTAGGAGGGGGTGAGACAGTGAGCAAATGTTCATGGCAAAGCTCGAAAGTGGCTAAAGAAGTGGCTGGCGGCCTTAATGGTTTTGGTCGCTATAGTAATGCCAAGGAGCTGACGGCGTTAGTTTTATGCCTCGTGATTGGCCAACAATGTCTTCAAGGCCGTTCGCTCGAGGCGGAAATGCAAATGTAATTTCTGTGCCTAAATAGTTGAAAAAAAAAGAACACGCACAATTCTTGTATCTTATGGGCACGTCTCGTAATATACTTTTGATCTTTGGGCTGTCAAAGTTGACCATCAAATCGCCCTACATGTACGCTGTTGCGGCATTCAGCAGCGAGCAATGGTAAGAATTCTTTACCATTAATTTTTCGTTCCACAATTAAAACGACTGTTGCAGCTGTGGGCGTGACCCAAACGGAAATTTAACTTCCTTTGCATATTCATGCTCATGCACAAACAATCAGGACTATTCAAGTTGCAGGCCATGCTGTTTTCAGTGGCAAGAATTTGCGTGCAATAACCACAAGTTCAGAACTGCAATGCCGCAGTTGAAAATTCGGTATGAATTTCAGGTATGAGATTGCAATAACACCTGAGGAAACATTGAAGTAAATTTTTCTTAATAGTGTAGATTTAAATGCAGCCAGTCCTTAAAGAGCTTATTGTTTGCCAGTTTAACTGAACAAAAATATACGCTAAAGAACTTGTTAAATATTTATGTTATGAACCAAAATCATCAGAAAAGATAAATAATATTAAATATCTAACACAAAACTCTTTTTGTAAACACATATTTTTGCAGCTATTTTCTGGGTAAGTAGTCCCAATGGCAGAAAAATGAGAATAGCTATTCGATTCTAGCCAAGTATAGGAATTTTACTTAAATTTTTCTAATATCAACTTTCAACTGCTAATGATACAAATTTTAATTAAATTTACTTATAATAAATATAATTACTACACAATTAAATTAGTATTTCGTTGTCAACGTTAAATCCTATTCAAATGTAAGTGCTGTAAAGCGCTTAAAACAAATTTTGTGCCAATAGTATTTTACAAATCGCAACAGCTAGCCAGCTTATTAACTTTGTCAGAGCTTAAAACAAGTAAAAACATAATGAACAATTTCTATTTTGAAATGGGTGAAAACGCGCAAAAATGGCTTTGGGCAAATGTGTGTAACAGACAGAAGAAAGCACCTGTGGCCCTTTACATACATATTCTCGGCCCGTGTCAATGTTGCTTGAAGAAAACTCTTAGGTGTTTAGATCGAGAGTCAAAAAATTCAACACATACCCAACTTTTTTAATTGTTTTAGGTCTCGCACCATTCAGCAATATGAAAGATGTATAAATTTCAATTGAAAACGCACAACAATATTACGCCATATATTTAAGATTTTGTGTTCTGTTCTTTTTGCGAATATACGAATATTGTATTTCAGAATAAGATTATCAAGATCAGTTACGAAACACAGAAATAATTAAAGGAAACGTTTGCTAAGTAAAAGCAAACGCATCCGATTCTTTTTCTAACTCTTTAGATGGGATTGCAATTGGAATTTAACTGTGTGATGTATAGTATTAAGACGCAAGTGTTAGTACGGCGCTACTGATTTACCTATTTGATTAGGGTTTAATCCCAGCAAATGGAATTAACTTTTTATTTATTTGTTTTTTACAACGTTAGTCTTATACCTTTACCCATCAAAAATATTTAAATAGAATATATTTTCGCTTTTGGTAGAAGAAGGTTCAGGGTATCTGCCAGTCGGATATTCCCTATTAGAGCACTCTTACCGGTTGCCTGACCCCCTTTAATTACCCAGTTAACCGCCAAGATAAGATTGTTATGAAGTTGCATTAGCAATTGATATGCACGGGGGCTTATGCTCTATTATCCGCGCAATGCCGGACCCTGTGCACTTTTGCATTTAAATGCAAATGTCCTCGAAGTTGTGCTGCAGCGTTGACGGCCACAACAATAACGATAGCAACATGGCGACATACATATTAACTGCATTGTGACTAAATACACGTGTGTGTACATATATGTGTAAAGGACGCACACACAAACACACACACACACACAAATAGTTAGTGGCAAATACGCATACACACACTAGCACACCCATGCAGAGGCAAAGGACTCACGTGAGCGATTAAAATCTGAAGGAAAGCATTTCTGTTTTTTCTTTTTTCGCTGCTGCTGCAACATTGAGGGTTGTTGCCTCTGCCAAGCGAGGCAAGCGCCGCCAGGTGATGTGTAAATGAGCAGAGTTGAGCGACACGACGCGGCGCGGCGTTGCGCTGCCCTGAAAGGGTTGTTCAGCTGCGACGCGGGCAGCGGCAGCGGCAGCGGCATGTAATTGGAGGCGAGTGTCGTGTAAAATGTAAAACTTGCGCCGTAAATAAATCAAAACTTTCTGACTGAACAAACATTCAGGTGAGCGAAAAAATGCAGCGTGCGACGGCAACAGCCGCCAGCTCCAGATGGAAGTGTAGCAAGTGTAGCAGCAACCTAAATGCGGGCCTGCGGGGTGGGCTGGCAGCTCACAGTTTCGTATTGACAAGTGCGCCCGGAGGGAGCCAGAGGTGTGCAGCTAAAAGCGGGCACAAAAACGAGGCCGGTGGATTATTTATGCTAGAAATTGGAACAGCTGCTGCCGTTGGGCTTGAGAGGGCAGCCTCTTCATCTGCAGCTGGCTGAGCTGTTGACAGCACTGAATGTTTTTTTTTTTATGTTTGTTTTTTTTTGGGAATCTTCAAGCTGAAATGTTGGGTAAGTTCATGATACACACAGCAACACAGTTCGTCAATAAAGTTTTACTGTATTTCGCATTCCTATATTCATAGCATAATTAAGAGATTTTCCTTTCCAAAATTTAAAGCAGCTCCAAGAGACCTTCATCTTATGTCGCGCATTTTATTGATTTATTGCATAATATGCTAAACAGCTTGACCCTCACTTGGGGGCTCACCACAAAGTTTTTTGATTTATATATTCATTATTTGTACGCTGTATTTTTGCCGAGCACAGAATGAAATGTAAATGGCGCATTAATACGGTTGCAGAACACCAGAACTACTTTACTATACATATACATATATACATATATATATATATATATATATATGTAGAAAGGGAATTAAAGTTGTTGGAAAAACTTTTGCGGAAATCTTTGCAAAATGCGGCCAGGACACAGTCACATTTGCGGTGGTCGCAATAATAGAATCATAAAAATATTATTATAAATAAACAGTTTCATGAAAGAGATCTTAAAGTCATTTGCAAGCTTTCTCTGCTTCTGTTTCGCACTAAAGTTTCTGATGTCTTCAACAAAAACAACAACATCACAAAACTGTTGAATAAGTTGACAGGTTTTTCTATACCCAGTGCGCGAATGGTAAATGTACAGACTACGCACACACTGTTAAACATCATTCTCGGAAAATGCCTTAAATATTCTTGAAAAAATCTGATATTAGAATTATAACTATACATTCACAGGAAAACAGAAATCAAATCAGACTGCATGGAAATACTGAATCATTAATGGGAAGTGTTCTACCATACATAAACCAAGAAAGAAGGACATTGAATATTGTTCTACGAATTATTAATTTTTTCATTTCAAGAATATATTTATAGTTTTAAAGATTGTTCATTTTCTTATCTTTTTCGACATTTTTCTATTAGAACATATTTATTATCTTTGTGAAAGTGAGAGACAATATAAATAATGTGTCTTTATACAACCCACAAATTTAAAATATTAAACATTTCCATATGCGCTGTGCGCACATAGATTATATGAAGCACTCATAAGAGAGTATTTCAGGTCGAGCATATACAGTAAAAAAAAACTTCGTCTTTTTTTGCGCTGCGGCTTGTGCCATAAATATATTAAGCCGACAAACTTTTCCCATTGCTAGTAGGTGCTCAGCTGGCTAAGCTGAGTATGCATTGCTGGCAGGCCGCTTAGAGACGCAGCTAGTCACGAAAATTGATGACCGGAGTTTAACTTAATTGTATGTGGGAATCTGAATGGAATCTGTGGCATGCTGATTGTGTCAAGATTTCGTTTCAATTTGCGCCGCGATAAGGCAACGAGACATAAAAGTAAATTGAAACGCCTGTCGCTCGACACAGCATCAACTGGCCAGCTGACTATCACGGGTCGAGCACCTGAAACTGAACCTGAAGCTGGAAAGATGCTGTACAGGGGTGGCCGCTGCAGCCCGTGGACCTTGTCACGCACGTGCAGATGGCAGAGTTTCAAAAATTTTTAATTGAATTTGCCACTGGGCAGCGGCTATTGTCTGAGCAATGGTTGGGGTTTGGCGTCTGGGCTTGGGTTTATACTGTTGCTACTCACTGTGTAACGGTATCATGTACTCCATTTCCGAGTCGCTATTGTCAGCCTCCTCCATGGGCTGTATGCCGCCTCCAGTTTTGGCAAACGAGTTGGTGCGCAGGGCCATCTCCATGGCACGCAATGCGGGCAGGTTACGGGGCAATTTGCCGTTCTGAAATGGAGACAAGCGTTGGCATATTAAAATTAGACATGGATAAAGCACGTCCAAGGCACTTTAATTTGCAGACGGCAATTATTAATTGAGGACTGAAAACTGGTAAAAAAAAAAAAAATAAATAAAAGAAACAAACTACAAATTCGAGGCCACAAAAGGGAGACGAATGTCCTGTGCAGTGCTACAGAAATCATGAAAAAGGATAACACGTAGTAATCTGAGCAATGGATATAAATGCGTTTGCCTGCTCACCTTTGCCGAGCTCTGTTCTCTCTTTTCTTCTCCTCGCTCACACGAAACTAAACTAAAAAGCAACAACGTGACAACTACTACAACAACAGCAGCAGCAGCAAAAGGAGCAGCAGATGTAACTAGATGCTGCCAGAAATCCAATTTCAGCAAGTAGCAAGACATAAATTTGTTTGTGCCACACAGAGACACGCATTAAAGCCTCGCACCGTTTGCCTTTCCAGGGAATTGAGTAACCGGACCGGGAAGGAAGGGATCATCCCGCCTGGCCATGTCCAGCAAATGAATTCTGTTAATGCAGACATTACTCGAGCATATTAAAAGTCCAAATGGTCATTTCGTACAGAATTTTATAGCAACTAGCCACACTCACACCACTCTCACACACACACACACGCACACAGACAGACAGACAATGGCACTGGGGCAACAAATAGGCACATTTGTTCCGCCTCCCGCTGGCAAACCCCTTAGACGAGCCTCAGGACTGCAGCCAATGGCCAATGTAGTTAGCAGCCCAAACCTATGCGCAGTATTGTTTACCTTGCCACGACAATTGCGGTTGATAACAACAACAAAAACAAAAACTGTTCTATTTGTAGTTGATTATACATACACATACAGATATACATACATACTGACACATATATTTTTTTTGCACACCCCAACTGATCAACCAAGCGAAAGTGGTACTCCGCCCCTAAGGACATTTAGTTTATTTGATGTTGCGAAATGAAAATTGTGACATAAAAGGGACTAACAACATAATTAAGTAGTGTCCGAATGTGCAAATCCAAAGGCATAAAAAGCATTAAAAAAAAACACCAAAAAGAGCAAAATAATAACAACAACAAATGGATGAGCAAACGAGCGAATGCGTTTATGTTCGGCTACTGTTCGCCAAATGGCACTTAAAGGATTTCAATCCAGGGCCCAGCCTCAAGTAGGCTCCAAGTTGTGGGGGAGCATGCATATTAACTGAATGGTTAAAGCACTAAGAAGGGCGCAACCTGATCACCAAGCATACATAAGAGGCCATCTCCCCGTTTGTGGTCATAATTTTTAGTTTTTGCTGGCCACGTGTCGGCCACAAAAGGGTCATGATTAGTTCGCCCAATAAGGGACATGCCGAGGGACAGCACAAAAAAATAAATACAGTGCATAAGCCAGAAACAAATAAACAAAGCTAAAACAGACTCGAATGTGGGCTAACACATGCCCATAACTATTTTCAGGTCTTAATCATAGCTGGACCTGTCTGTTGACACATTCCGGATTATGCGATGCCTAACGGCGCAGAATATATTTTATTATTTATGAATCAAATAACAGTTTGCTAAGATTATTTTAAATAAATCTTTCATGTAACAACATGAGAACTTCAATAGCGTATTTAATAGATGCTCAAGTTAGAAATTGTAAACATTTCTTTAAAAAAAAAAAAAAATGAAATTAAATTTTTAAGTAGGGTATTTACTGGCACACTCGAGAATTGTGGAAATATTTGATTTACTTTATTCGAAGCCGCTAACAAAATTACCAAATTGGCTTACTATGACTTTGAAAATTTGCTGGCCTTATACTTAGTGTAAATATTTATGTACATAAGCATATATATACTAAGTTCACAGAGCCGTTGGCATATCGTGCCGTGGCTTAGTTAGGCTCAAAATACCCTGTAATGCTGAAATATTCTAAAACAGGTTAATCTAAGGTTTAGCAGGAATATGTAACTAGCCTTTGAATATCTCTCTGTCTATGATATCTTTATATATGCTTTTATGTTCAAGATGAACATAAACGAGAGATACGATATGGCCCTAACACCGATTACATATCTCCCATCGGGAATATATGACTAAATCTTGAGGCACTTCCCGATATAGGAAAACAATTTTCGTAAAGGCAAAAATAAATCAAATATGTTTTATGTGTATATTTTATACTGTATACATTAACATATAAATTCAAATACCTTTGCGAAATCATATATATATATTTATACAAATATATGACTTTGCATTAGGAATTTAACACCAATCGCTGGGTATCTTCCAGTCGAGCTTTATTGAGAAGCTCATTGCTCTTTGTTTTATTTGCTCATTTTTTGAGTATTTGACTTTATTTTCTTCGCCCGCAACCGTTTGCATGCACTGTTTGAATGTATATGTGAGTGTGTGTGTGTGTCTGTGTGTGTGTGCGTGTGTTGTGTGCCTGAGCTTTGTACAATTTTTTATTTAATAAAACAAATTCAGCGGACAGCCTGCGGCGAACATGGCAAGCAAAATTAAATTGTTTCGTTGTTTTGCGGCAGACTTCTTACAGCAAGATCTGGACGCGAACGCTTTATCATTTCTTGTTGCCGTTGACAGGAGAACGTGGCACGGCGGGAACGGAGCGGGCATGCGGGCACAGGGTACTGGCATTTGACAGGCCTGTCAGACAACTGGGGCGGCGACTGAGTGGCACACGCGTTCCCCATACCCCGGCGACTTGTTTGTAATTTCGTATTTTAATGACCAACAGAAATATCAAATATGCATGTCGGGGCGGGCCAGGATTTATATTTCTGCTGCGCGCTAACTCGCTGTTCAATTTCTAGATGGTATTTCCAGAGTTTCAACTTGCAAAACAATTCAATTTCAACGCACTGTTTTCATTAAACACATAAAGCAAATGCATTTGTGGCCACTCTTTGCATACATTTCGGCGCCGTTTTTCAGCTCGTTATATGCAAATGGCTGATTACAATGTCGAGCTTTAATGACGCAGCTGCGTGCTGGCCTTCACGCAAATATTGCAAATTACCTGTCAATAATATGGAAATCGCAGAAATTGCAGTCATCAAAGGCTTAACATTTTTTCTTTTAATAAAAAATGCGTGCACAGCAGGTTTCAGCGAGCACACACGCGCACGGTCTCTCAAAATGTGGCCATATTTATTTATATATGTATGTGTGTGTACATGCAAGTTTGTCCAACTGTCAAGGCGTACCGCCCCCCACCTCTTTAGGGCGTGACATGTGACGTGATTTCCACGCTGCGTGTTGTTGTTATTGCATATTGTGCCGCACTTCCGTTTCCTGGCGGCGCGCCGCTGCGTTTCTTTTGCATAATAGACGTTGATTAATGACGCGCCAAAGCATAGGTAAAGGTGTATGCAATACATTATTTATGAGCGGAGTTGCATAATTAGCATCGCGCTAAATAGCCAGCAAAATTATTAGCGGCCACAATGGCCCAGGCCCAGCGGTGCAATCGAGACTGCACTGCCATGGAATTTGTTGTTCCTGTCCTCCCATCGGCCTGCTTTGACAGTTGCCATTTGCCAAAGCAATGTATGCACAGCGAACCGGCAGCGGCCTCAGTCCCATAAATTAGGCCCCTTCTCACATCACATCACTCAGAGCGGAGCGGTGCCAAAACAGAAAGACACGCTAGCGGCATCAATCGACAAAAGTGCAGAGCACTAAAGGACGCAGCACGAAGTATGGAGTACGGAAGTGACATAGTAGTCGGGGCCGGAAAGACACGCAACATTGCATATTGGGAGCGCAGAGCGTATGAGGAATGCCAAATGCTGCCAACAAGCATGGACTCAACTCGAACCTCACACTGCCAACTGGCAATGATATAGCTCATAATTTCCAATTCGCATATTGCGGCTTGCAAGCGGCCGAGCAAACAAACGCAATCAGAAGCACTAACGCAAACCCAACTGCATTGTCTCTGCTAAATTCTGCATATCCTGTCATTGCATGCCAAACAATGTCCTGACCTGTTTGTTCAGTTGCAGTTAAGTGGGCTTTGCATGCCAACATAAACGCTCCTGTGTGCGTCTAGGCTCCTCTACTGGAACCTGTTCTATAGGCACATAAAAACTTCATATACAATTTTCGCATATCAATTTTAAAAAACAAAGTAATCTTCAGGTATGCTGCATATTTCAATGTTCTTGGCTCGATATAATTGTGATCGTGCTTCATTTTCTTATTTGAATGTAAATAATATGTATCCAATTTCCTCCTCTGCCTAAGGAGTGTAATCAAATATCTAATAGATTTTTTTAATTCAGGTGTGCCTAAGAAGAGAAGACTTATCGAAGCGAAGCTCATCAGAAGACTCAGCTTGGGACCGAGACAATCTAGGCAGGTCTCTTATAATTATTGTAAACTCTTTCATTTTATATAAACAATTAATTTTTAAAAGTTTCCTGGCTTTGTCTTTTTTGTGGCACTTCAGCTATACAGACAGTCTAAATAGACAGTTAATTCATAAAAATTAAACCAACCTTAAGAAGTAAAAATTATTCTTTAGCAAGATTTTAAATCAAGATATTAGGTATATAATAAAAAATATTTATTGCCGCAAGCCGCAATTCTTTAATAATTAAAATTAAATAAGACAATGTAAAGCCTGTAACTATGTACTTAATCGCGTCCAACTAATTGCCCGATAATTGACAGTTTGACGGCTTCGCTAATTTGTTTTTGCATGTTGCGCTGTCAAAAACTTTTGTTACCCGCTTTTTTTCCCCTACTTAGCTAAGCGAGTGCTGCCAGTAAATGTGCAAAGTGGCTGTGGATGCGCGATGGCCACTCGGAAACAGCAGGCAAACAGCCAAACAACTAACCATCTACAAAACTAGTCATAATAGTGACAGTAACAACAACAACAACAAAAACAGAAACAAAAGTTGCTCTGCAAATTGCGAGATACTTTTTATACATTTTTTAATTTTTAAAACT